AAGTTGAGGCTATAAGTTTTTGAGGGCGTCCACATAGGATTTAAATCAACCTATAGTGACATGGCACGTCAAATATTTAGAATTATGTTAATTTTGTTTCCATTGATAATAATTGAAACATAAGACATGATTTCCTTATTTCATTACCTCATAATTCCAAGTAATTTCCAAATTTTGTGTATTTAATTTCCTATTTCAACTTTAAATTAGGAAATTTCCTTAATTTAAAAGTCTTAAATATTTTTAAAAAGTTATTATTTCAAGTTTACGAAAAATTTAGGAAAAGTATAGATATTCTGTTATAAAGGCAAAATTAATATCACATTCTAATTAATTATTATCCCAATAGAATAGGATATTACATTCATTCTCAATTAACTACAAAAGAGATTAGAAAAAATTTTCCACGATAAACAAAAAATAATATAATTACAATAGAGATTAGGAAATTTTACAAGAAACTAAAAAAGATGGAATGTACATAGGATTCAAATCAACCTATAGTGACATGCCACATCAAATATTTAGAATTATGTTAATTTTGTTTTTTATTGATAATAAGTAAAAAATAAGACATGATTTGTTTATATCATTAGCCCATAATTCCAAGTAATTTCCAAATTTTTGTGGATTTAATTTTCTATTTCAACTTTAGATTAGGAAATTTCCTTAATTTAAAAGTCTTAAATATTTTAAAAACGTTATTATTTCAAGTTTACGAACATTTTTGGGAAAAGTATAGATATTATGTTATAAGGCAAAATTAATATTACATTCTAATCAATTATTATCCCAATATAATAGAATATTACATTCGTTTTCAATTAACTACAAAAAAGATTAGGAAAAATTTCCCAACGATCCAAAAAAAATAATATAATTACAATAGAGATTAGGAAATTTTACAAGAAACTAAAAAAGATTGAATGCACATAGGGTTTAAATCAACCTAGAGTGGCATGCCACGTCAAATATTTAGAATTATGTTAATTTTGTTTTTGTTGATAACAATTGAAAAATAAGACATGATTTCCTTATATCATTAGCTCATAATTCCAAGTAATTTCTAAATTTTTGTGGATTTAATTTCCTATTTCAACTTTAGATTATATAAAAGTTGAGGCTATAAGCTTATAAAAGCGTCCACATAGGATTTAAATCCACCTATAGTAGCATGTCACGTCAAATATTTAGAATTAAGTTAATTTTGTTTTTGTTGATAATAATTGAAAAATAAGACATGATATTCTTATATCATTAGCTCATAAATTCAAGTAATTTTCAAATTTTGTGGATTTAATTTTCTATACTATATAAAAGTTGAGGCTATAAACTCATAAAGGCGTCCACATAGGATTTATATCCACCTATAGTAGCATGTCACGTCGAATATTTAGAATTAGGTTAATTTTGTTTTTGTTGATAATAATTATAAAATAAGACATAATTTTCTTATATCATTAGCTCATAAATCCAAGTAATTTCCAAATTTTTGTGGATTTAATTTCCTATTTCAACTTTAGATTAGGAAATTTCTTTAATTTAAAAATCTTAAATATTTCAAAAATGTTACTATTTCAAATTTACAAAAAATTTAGATATTCTGTTATAAAGGCAAAATTAATATCACATTCTAATCAATTATTATCCCAATAGAATAGGATATTACACTCATTCTCAATTAACTACAAAAGAGATTAGGAAAAAGATGGAATGTAATAAAGATGAAGCTAGAAGAGAAATTGATATTGCAGAGAAGAACTTTTATAGTGATATAGAATGATTACGTTGGAGCGAAAAAAATCGTTAACAAGACTAAGAATTAGTATCCTAAGCTTGATGGTTCAAACAATTATTGATAATGATCAATGTTTATATCTCTACATCAAAGAACGAAAAAAGAGAAGCTAATTGGTATGGAGTTCTCGGTGTTGATCCTTTTACTGATGATGAAACAATGAAAAAAATACAAAAATTTAACTCTTTTACTTCATTCGGACAAGAACAAGTGTAAAAGCGCAGAAGATGCGTTCAAGTTGGTTTTAGAGTATTATCAAAAAAAAAGTGGTTGAATTTAGAATTATGGTGTTTGTTGCCTGATTAGGCTAAGAGAATGTGCTTATGATCATAAGAGGAAATCGAAGACCAGGATGTAGAAACCACCAAACGCTCATTAACGAGCTTCTACTAATGGGAATCAAAATTCAAAAGGTGTTGATCTGAGTACTAGGCTAGAAGTAATAAGCCTACGCCTCCACCATCTCCGGCTTTCGATGGACTCCATCTCTTATCTCTGCTCCTTCTCTAACGTCCGTTTCCGTTTTGGATCGAGGTAAGTAATCTCATGATTTATAATTAACCGATTTGTGCTTAATTTAGTCATGACAAATTTACGGTGCTTTACTTATGCTTCAATATTCAATATAGCATATTGATTCATGGTGTATACTATAGATCTAAGGTAGATTGACTTTTGCTTGGTCTGTTTGTGCATGTTTATAATATGTTGATCTTTGTTTCATTAATTAGTCTCTTCTCATGCTTTACGAGTCATGCTTTTTTTATATGGTATTGTTCTTTCTTATGATATATCGACACAAGTTTATTGCTTTATTACATGTATCAAGTAAAGTATTTGTTTCACCGCGCGATGATTTATTTGCTTCGTTTGATGGATTTTGCGATTAAGAGGGTCACATGTACTTCTAATTATTTGAGGCGAGGTTTGTCTAAGCATGTGATGTTATTTACATGATCTTCAAGTTCCTTAATTAGTTAACCATCAAATTATTCATCAAATCTTTCTTCATGTTATATTATGTTCTTTAAACAATAACATATCCTTACATCGTAGGAAAATGAGACCTTAGAAACAAGGTTTTACATAAGGGATGTATGAAATTAAATAGAATACATAATATATTGACATCCTTTTTTCTATGATACTCAATTTCTTTTGTACTGAAATTAATTTGTGTACTAAAGCAAGATTTGCATAAAGAAGCATATGCAAGTTCATTCAAAGAAAGCATGGATGCTTGAATGAGAGGAATATAAACTTTTTTGACTTTGGTGTCTGAATATATGCAATTTTGAAGTTCGTG